CCCTTATTTGTGCCTGGACCTTCCTCCTGAGCCCCCAGTGGCGGAGGGAGGGGGCGCGGTGCTCAGCTTGACGGCCGCCATCCACAGGCAGCTGCTGCAGCCTCGCCTCCTCTTCAGGCCCGGGGAGGACTGCGCGTCCCCCGGCCGGGACAGCCCTGTTTCCCACGTGCCGGGAGAGGAGCTGTCCTTGGGGACCGGGGCGGGGCGGGGCTCGGAGGAGGGCGAGCCAAATGTCTCCGGTGGGGACGATGGGGGCGACAGCAGTGACCACGACTTCGAGATGGTGGATTTGAATGAGAAATTCGTCCTCAGCCACTTGGTGGTGGCCCCCTATCGGTTCGGGGCCCGTGATGAGGCGGAGAAGCCGGGGCGAGCGTCCAGCCCCCACCGCTGGATGCATCTGATACCGGGCTGCCGGCGGCAACGGCATCCTAGCCGGGACCTAGAGCTGGAGGCGGAGACCAAGGAAGGGCGGGCCTCCCTCCAGGCTGAGGATGAGCCCCCCAGGCGCGGGGCCCGCGAGCACTTTCCTTATTGGAGGCGCAAGAGGTTCCTGTGTGTGCCAGAGCGGGACTCGCCCAGTCACAGCTCTCCGGAACGAGGCAGCGACTGTAGCCGCAACAGTTCAGACCCCGAGGACGGCTCCTCTGCAGGTAGGCACATCTCTCTCTAGATCCCCGCCCCAAGCATCCTTCGGGTGCTAGCACCCCTTCCTGGCAGACCTTGGTGGTCCTGTTTGACCTCAAGCCCCTGGGAATAAGGGAGATGAGCTCTGCCTCTACTTTAAAGCCACTTGTGGAGTTTTAAAAAGAGTGCAGATTGAATCTTGGGCTTGGGCAAACTCATGACAATGAGCATGATCTCGATGACCGGTGATGGAACGGGATGCCTGGCCAGACCAAAGGAGAAACCTCTTACGTTGGGCCTCAGCCATTCTGCTCTGACTATTGCAACTCACTCACATCCCGCCCTCACCCTCAGTCCTTCCTCGGGCTCTCCAGATTCCTTTGTATCACCCTGATGGGGTCCTGTGCATTTAAACTCCACTGACTCCCCCTTTTCCCCAGATTCCTTGGAGCAGAAGTCTAAATTTTCCATTTTATTTTCTGAACTCACCTTGCCCCCAGAGGGGGCTACTTTTGCCGTTTGATAGCCCAGGGGTGGTGCTGGATTCTAATTTGCATCAAGCTGCCCTATGTGCTAGAGCGTCCTTGGGGAGAGGAGGCCACTGGCAGAATTAAAATCACTCCCGGTGGAAATGCAGGACTCTAGGCATCACTGAGCTTCTGGTGTTGGAACCAGACTCACTGAGGAAAGGTACGTGATTGATGCTCGCTACCTCTCCTTGGCCCACTCTTCTTTCCTAGAAGACTGCTCTTCTAGGAGACTTGGAACCTGAGAGAAAGGGGAAGGCTTAGGATCACAGTTTTCAGCTGGCCTGGTGCCCTGAAATCCTGCCTAGTCCAGCACCTTCACTCAATAAAGGAGGACACTAAAGTCCAGAAAGATTAAAAGCTTGTCCAGGTGAACTGAATCTTCTTTCATCTGTTGTTTGCCTCCACATCCGCCCGCTTTGCTGAGCACAGGTCCTGGTCCTAGCATCTTTGAATCCCCTTATAGTGGTCAGCACAGTGGTCAAGAAATATTTGTTGAAAAACATGATTGTATTGAATTGAATGCCTGCCCAGCTCTTGATAGTTCAGGGATTAGAAGTGGGGTAGAGAGGAAAGGTCAAATGGGGATGTGGGGTGGCATGTGACTGCCCCTTTGCTACATCTGGCCAGTCTTGGGGGTCCCCTCAGCCACACGGAAAGCATCCACTGGCAGTTGATGCAGTCAGGAGCTTAAGATGCCTTGCTGCTCAGTGAAAGAGAAAATGAAAAAAGAAATCACAGATGCTGGGATTGTTCCAAAATCTCCATTATTAGATCTTATCTGAGTTTGCATTTGAAGAAAAAAACTGTCCACTCTGCTAAAAGCACATTTGGAAGGTCCATTGAGTCATCTGTTTTGATCATTACACTTATTCATTAGCAGAGATTGGCTGCTTTTCCCATAAGTAATGCTTTTGCCACCCATGCTAGTAACATTTATAATGTCCTCTCTTAACTTAAAGCAAGAGTTTGAAGATTTCACTCTGGTGCCAAGTTCCAAATGCCTTCAATGGAGACTACCCAAGTGGCCCCAGCTGCTTCAGAGATGGCTCCAGTCCTAGGTCCCTTGAGACCCACATCAACCATTCTGTCAGGTGTGCCTAGTGTACCGCATTTTCCCCTGGGAGTGATTTTTAATTCCGTGAGTGGTTTCTTCTTCCCAAGGACACTCTAGCACATAGGGCACCTTGATGCAAATTAGAATCCAGTCCCACCCCTGGGCTATAAAATTGCAAAAGGTGCCCCTTCTGGGGAGACCAATAATACACAGGTTCTTTTTCCTCTGGACTGAAGACTCCAGCCAGGTTGCACTTGTGGCACTTACAACTTTGACTAGTGGTGCCAGGGCTGTATTTCAGGTTTCATTCCAGGCCCTCTCTGCGAGGCAAGCTTGTGTAGGGAACAGGGGCATAGCTGCATGTGAGGGTCCTGGTGTCTCCAAAACCTCTCAGTGAGAAAATGCATATACACACATGTCTGTGCATATTGACACACACACGCATGTGCACACAGTACAGTAGGACACAGAGCCTTCAAACGCAGGAAGGCATTAGTGCAAATAAATTAAGGATGGAAGTTTTCACACTGCAAGTGACAACCCAGTGGAAGTAGTGTAGCAGTCCCTGAAAGCATCCTGAGGTCTTCCTTGGCTACCCTTGGCCTTCAGGGCTTATTTTTCTCCATAGCACTCTTCAGATTACCACCTCAGATGCTACAGTTTTGCATATGGATTTGGTTCACTTTCTTTCTCTGGAGAAATGTGAGGCCAGGCATGGTGGCCTATAATTCCAGCACTTGGGCGGCTGAGGCAGGAGGATCGCTGTGAGTTCGAGAGCAGCCTAGACTACATAGTGAGTTCCAGGTCAGTCTCAACTACATAGTGAGACCCTGTCTCCAAAAAGCAAAAAAAAAATGTGAGCTGTAGGGGAGTAGAGATTTTGTCTCTTCCATTTACTGATGTATCTGAAGTCTGGGATGGTGCTTAGTGTATACAGTATGTATTTGTTGAGTGATATTTTTTTGAGATTTTTTTTTTTGTTGTTGTTTTTGGTTTTTTTTCTACCCGGGATTGAACTTGGGACCTTGTTCTTGTGAGGGCAGGCAGTGGAACCACTGAGTTAAATCCCCGGTCCTTTTGGTGGTCTTTTGAGATAGGGTCTCGCTGTGTAGTCCAGGCTGGCCTTGAACTCACTATGTTGCCCAGGCTGGTCTGAAACTCATGGCAATCCTCCTGCCTCAGCCTCCTGAGTGCTGGGATTACAGGTGTGTGCCATCATGGCTATTGTTGAGACAGGTTCTTTCTGTGTAGTTCAGGCTGGCTTTGAATTCACTATATAGTCCAGGCCAGGCTCAAACTCTAGACAGTTCTCTTGCCTCAGCCTCCTGAGTGCTGGGATTACAGGTGTGTGCCACCATGCCGGCAGAGTGATATATGATTTTAATGGGATGGAATAGATTAGAAAACATAAGGCCTGGGGATGTAATTCAGCGATAGAGATCATGCTTAGCGTGTGTGGTCCCTGGGTTTAATATATAATGCCAAAAACAAAAGAAAAGTAGCTGGGTGTAGTGGCATACCACTAATCATAGCTATTTGGTAGGCTGAGGCAGGAGGACTGCCAATTTGAGAGGCCAGCCTGGATAACTTAGCAAGACTCTGTCTCAAAATAAAAAAGGCTGGATATATAGCTCAGTGGTAGAGCACTGTTGGGTTTAATCTCCTATAATGGGAAAACAACATCAGAATGCATTCCACGTGCTAAGGTGAGTATCATTCTGTTGTATTTATTTATTTATTTTCCAGTACCATGGATCAAACTCAGGCCCTTGCACTTACAAGGCAGGCAGAACCACTGAGTTAAATCTCTGGCCCATATTTTGTTTTAAAATTTTGTTGCTGGGTATGGTGGCACACAGTTGTAATCCCAGAACTCGGGAGATTTAGGCAGAAGGATTGCCACTGGGTTAAAGCCAGCCTGAGCTACACAGTGAATTCACAACCAGCCTGAACTACATAGTGAGACATCATCTTTTCAAACAAACAAACATGAAAGAAAAAGAAACTTTTTTGAATTATATATGTGAGAATATATACTGGGTGCTGTTAGAAAATGTATTTCTTGCTGTGGGCTGGACAAAAAAGGTTTGAAAACATTAAGAGCATAGTTTTTTGAGTCTCACTTCTTGTGTGGCCCTGGGAGAAGTTATTTGAATTTTCTGTCTCATTTTCCTCATCTGTAAAATGGGGCTAGTAAACACTACCTACACCATATTTTTTGTTGTTATTGTTTTGTTTGTTTTGGTTTTGGTTGAGACAGGGTCTTCCTTTGTTGTTCAGGCTGGCCCTGAACTTACTATGTAGCCCAGGCGGGCCTTAAACTCACAGCGATCTTCCTGCCTCTGCCTCCCAGGTGCTGGGATAACAGGAGAGTGTCACCATGCCCGGATGTTTTGTTCAGTGGGAATAAGTGGGATATTGTCTCTTAACAGGCCTTGAACAGGTTCTGGCACACAGTGAGGACCCAGAAGTGTTAACTAACCAGTGCTACAGGTTGTTTTTCTTTGAGTTGACTGTTCAAAGCTCTCTACTTTCAGATCATTCTTGGTCTCAAATGGTTTGGTCATCTCTAACATGTTTTTCTTTTTTTCCCCATTAATTTATTGGTACATTTAAAGCAAACAATACAGTTACATTTATCATTGGGATCTTGTACCTTTACATGATATATCTTGGTTCTTGTTTGTTCCCCATACCCCTACCCTCCCTTCACCCCCTTCACCATTCCCTATTTATAAAGACTTTCTTTCCATTTTTTCATTTTTCACATTTTTTAACACATTTTTTTCTAACACTGTTTTGGCTCCTTCTAGAATCTTCCAGGCAGCTGGTCAGGATCCAGGGCAGGGTGGTAATCTTGGCTTATGAGGCTGTTTGGTTGGATTGGTCCTCATGCTGTTTTTCCCTCTGTGCTTTGGATCACACCCATCATCTGCACTCAGGACTTTACTAAAGGGCAGTTTTTATGAGGCAATAACAGGTTTTGCCTTACTTAGTCTCAGGGTTTCAAGGAGATAGGTCCATGAGGCTTTACATTAAAAAAATCCAAAGGCAAAGGGCTCCCCTCCTTGGAAAGGGCTGTTTTCTCGTAAATGAGGGGCAGATCCCTAAACAAACACATATTTGGGCTTTCTTTCCATACATAATAGCAAAATCAGAGTTTAACTGAGTTAAAATACCAGCTCACTTAGTGTCTTTTAGCATCTTACAGCACTGATTGGTACCAGGAAGGTCTAGGCCATATTGGCATGGTAGGACTGTGGGATGTGGTGGTGGTGTGCATGCAGGTGGGGCCGGGAGAGGACAGCTGGGGGATTGTGTGCACTGCAGTGTCAGATCCAGGCCTGTGCCCAGCTCTGCCCTGATCAGGTGTGAGCCCATAGGCCAGACACTGGCCTTGCCAAACCTCCTTCTTACCCCCGTACCAAAAAAAAAAAAAAAA